TGCCCTGGAGCACCCCAAGAGGGTTCCAAGTCGGCCCAGAAAGCCCCCCCAAACGGTGTCCGACGGCGTCGGACGGGCCAGGGGCACACCAAGACGACCGAAGATGGCCCTAAGATGGCCCACGACTGCCCAAGAGGCCTCCAAGAGGGCCTCCAGGAAGGCCAGAAAAGGCCAAAGGCACTGATGTCCCTTAGGTGTTCAAAGGATTTTAACGTTTGCTTCGTATCGGCCTTCCGACTACCCGATACGGCCCAACAGCCCCCAAAGATCGTCCAAGGATCGCCCAAGAGGCCTCCAAGATGGCCCCAGAACGGCCCGAGAGGCGCCCAAGACGGCCCCAAGAGGCCCCCAAGACGGCCCAGGAGGCCTTGAAGACACCCAAGATGGCATCCAAGACGCCCCTGGAGCATTCCAAGAGGGCCCCAAGTCGGCTCAGATAGGCCCCCCAGACGGCTTCCGACGGCGTCGGACGGGCCAGGGGCACACCAAGATGGCCGAAGATGGCACTAAGATGGCCCAAGACGGCCCAAGAGGCCTCCAAGAGGGCCTCCAGGAAGGCCCGAAAAGGCCAAAGACACTGATTTTCCGTTGGTCTTCGAAGGATTTTGACGTTTGCTTCGTTTCGGCATTCCGACGGCCCGATACGGCCCAAGAGCTCCCAAAGATCGCCAAAGGATCGCCCAAGAGGCCTCCAAGATGGCCCCAGAACGGCCCAAGAGGCTCCCAAGACGACCCCAAGAGGCCCCCAAGACGGCCCAGGAGGCCTTGAAGACACCCAAGATGGCCTCCAAGACGGCCCTGGAGCACCTCAAGAGGGCCCCAAGTCGGCCCAGAAAGCCCCCCCGAACGGTGTCCGACGGCGTCGGACGGGCCAGGGGCACACCAAGACGACCGAAGATGGCCCTAAGATGGCCCACGACTGCCCAAGAGGCCTCCAAGAGGGCCTCCAGGAAGGCCCGAAAAGGCCAAAATCATTGATTTCCTATCAGTTGTTGAAGGATTGTGGCTTTTTTTGTCCGGCCTCCGACCCCAAGTGCCCCTGAAGATCGCCCAAAAGGCCCAAGACGGCCCCAAGAGGCCCCCAAGACGGCCGAAGAGGCCTCCAAGACACTCAAGATGGCCTCCAAGACGGCCCAAGAGCCCTCCAAGACGTCCTCCAAGAAGGCCCGAAAGAGTCAAAATGGCCTCCAGGCGGCGTCTTCGATCCGCCACCCCCTGTCGATTCATCGTAGGGGTGCCTGGCGTGCTAGACTATTTCGGTCTTGGTTTTGGTTCTTTTTCCCCAAAAAACTCCCCCTGGGGCTTCGGCCGATCGCGCCAGGGTCCCGGAAAGGCCTCGAAACCACCTCAACGACCAAAACAAATTCTCCAAGACGGCTCCAGATGGCCTCTAAGAGGTCACGTTGGCCCAAGATGGCCTCCAAGATGGCCTCAAAGTCGCCAAAGATGGTCCAAGATGGCTTCCAAGACGGCCCGAGAGTCCAAGATGCCTTCAAGTTCGTCCAAGAAGCCTCCAAAACGGCCCAGGATGGGGAAGGCCTGAAAGGGCTGAAATCATTGACGCCCCTTCGGTTTTTGAAGGAAATGTTGCATTTCTTCGTATCAGCTCTCCGACGGCCCAAGAGGGCCCCACCATCGTCCCAAGAGCGCCCAAGAGGCCTCCAAGATGGCCCCATGACAACCCAAGAGGGCCACAAAAAGAGCCCAAGACGGTCCAAGATGGCTCCGAAGACGCCGAAGATGGCCTCCAAGATGGTCAAGATGGCCTCCAAGATGCCTCCAAGACGGCCAAGAAGGCCTCCAAGACAGCGAAGATGGCCCCAAGATGCACCCAAGACGGCCCCAGATGGCCTCAAGATGGTCTTAGACTGCCCAAAAGGGCTGCGAGAGGCCTCCAAAACGGCCCAAGAGCTCTCCAAGACGTCCTCCAAGAAGGCCCGAAAAGGTCAAAAAGACCTCCAGACGGCCAAGATGACCTTCAAGATGCCCACGTGTTCCCCAAAGGCTTTCCAAACCAATTCAGGGAACATATGGTCCGATAGCTTGGCAGGGTTCTGGCCTCAACGTTCGGCAACATAGGCGCTTCCGAAAGGGCAGGAGGCGGCGGTGACTCGCAGTAGGCGTCTTCGATCCGCTGCCTCCTGTTGATTAATCACAGAAGTGCCTGGCATGCTAGACCCTGGTGTATTGTTTTTTTTTGTGTTCTAGAAGAACTCTCTCCTGGGCCTCCAGTCCATGCCGCCGGCCTCCCAGAAAAGGTGGTTGCCGTGCCTCCCCGACGGCCGTCTCGCTGGGGACATCCTCAAAACATCACGGTCTTGGGGTCCAGATGGCCCAAGATGGCCTCCAAGACGGAGCAAGAAGGTCCAAGATGGCTCCGAGTCCGCCCAAGAAGCCTCCAAGATGGTCCAATACGGCCCAAGAGGCCCCCAAGAGGCGTCAAGGAGGGCCCAAGAGGCCTCCAAGAGGTCCTCCAGGAGGGCCCGAAGATGTCAAAATCATTGATCTTCCTTAGGTTTTTGAAGGATGTTGGTATAAGCGTCTTTTCGTCCTTCCGACAGGCCAAGACGGGCCAAGAGGCCCCCAAGATCGCCTCAAGATGGCCCTAAAGTCCTCCACGATGACCTCATGACAGCCCAAGTTGCCTCCAAGACGGCCCCCAGAGGCCTCAAAGTTCGCCAAAGATGGTCCAAGATGGCCTCCAAGACGGCCCAAGATGGTCCAAGATGGTCTCCAAGACGGCCCAAGAGGGCACTGTCGATGCGTCCAAGTCAGCCCAAGAAGCCTCCAAGACGGCCCAAGAAGCCCCTAAAACGCCCCCAAGGCGGCCAAAGAGGCCCCCAAGAGGCATCCAACAGACCCCCAGGAAGCTCCCAAGAGCGCCCAAGAATGACCCAAGAGGCCCCCAATTACCCTGGCGACGTACCCAACCCCTGCGCAATGCGAGGCATGAGTAGCTTTGGAGACGTTATACGAAGGTGATGACGTGACATGGGCGTAAATATTTCTGCAAGCGGCACTCGTGAGGCTCGCAGCCCCCCAAGGATTGCGATGTCCTGCTCAGATCTGCCTGGTGCCTCGCTCCGCTGGACCCACCAGCAGCCCTCGAAAATGACGACAAATTCGCAGATCGCAGCCCCCCCAGGGACGGCGAGGTCCCGCTCAGGTCCGTTCGGTGCCTCACTCCGCAGGACCCACCAGCAGGCCTCGAAAGTGGCGACCGGTTCGCAGATCGCAGCCGCCCAGGGACGGCGAGGTCCCGCTCAGGCCCGCGCGGTGCCTCACCCCGCAGGACCCACCAGCAGCCCTCGAACGTGGCGACATTTTCGCATATCGCAACCCCCCCCAAAGGACGGTTGGGTCCCGCTCAGGTCCGCGCGGTGCCTCACTTCGCAGGATCCACCAGCAGCCCTCGAAAGTGGAGACCGTTTCGCAGATCGCAGCCCCCCAGGGACGGCGAGGTCCCGCTCAGGTCCGTTCGGTGCCTCACTGCGCAGGACCCCCTAGCAGGCCTCGAACGTGGCGACCGGCTCGCAGATCGCAGCCCCCCAGGGACGGCGAGGTCCCGCCCAGGCCCGCGCGGTGCCTCATTCCGCAGGAACCACCAGCAGCCAGCCCTCGAAAGTGGCGACAAATTCGCAGATCGCAGCCCCCCAGGGACGGCGAGGTCCCGCTCAGGTCCGTTCGGTGCCTCGCTCCGCAGGACCCACCAGCAGCCCTCGAAAGTGACGACAAATTCGCAGATCGCAGCCGCCCAGGGACGGCGATGTCCCGCTCAGGCCCGCGCGGTGCCTCACCCCGCAGGACCCACCAGCAACCCTCGAAAGTGGCGACCGTTTCGCAGATCGCAGCCCCCACAGGGACGGCGAGGTCCCGCTCAGGTCCGCGCGGTGCCTCACCCCGCAGGACCCACCAGCAGCCCTCGAACGTGGCGACATTTTCGCAGATCGCAGCCCCCGAGGGATGGCGAGGTCTAATTTGGGTCCGCGCGTGGCGAATCTGTGCTGGGCCCCCCAGGAGGCCTCGAAAGTGGCGACCGTTTCACAGATCGCAGCCATCAAGGGATGGCGAGGTCTGATTTGGGTCCGCGCGTGGCGTCACTGTGCTGGGCCCCCCAGCAGGCCTCGAACGTGGCGACCGTTTCACAGATCGCAGCCCCCCAGGGATGACGAGGTCTGATTTGGGTCCGCGCGTGGCGTCACTGTGCTGGGCCCCCCAGCAGGCCTCCAAAGTGGCGACAGTCTCACGGATCGCAGCCCCCCGGAATGGCGAGGTCTAATTTGGGTCCGCGCGTGGCGTCACTGTGCTGGGCCCCCCAGCAGGCCTCGAAAGTAGCGACAGTTTCACATATCGCAGCCCCCCGCAGGCAAGACAGGAGGAGGCAGGCAGGAGGCAGGAGGGAGGCGGGAGGAAGGAATGTGGAGACCACAGCCCCTTATTCAACACGAATACCCAACCAAGGAGGGTTGGGAACAAGAATCTTCCTCCTCCGTTCCCTCTTGCCGTCATTCTCCGCTTCTCTTCTTCCCACTCCAGCTGATGTTCCTTCTCCTACGCCCGTTCCCCGAATGCCCTACTGATGAAGTCGGAAATGCTCAGACGTTTACGTCAAGCTCGAGCCCGCGCGTTCAGTCACAGATGCGGTCCGACAGGGCATGCCTGGCGTGCTAGACATGTTTGTTTGGTGTTGGTTCGTCTTGTAAAATATTCTCCCCTGAGGTGTTCCCTCGTCCCAAGAGGTCCCGACCAAGCCTCCTAGGCGGCCGACAAAAGCCAAGGCTCCCAAGAGTGCCCCCAGAGGCTCCCAAGATGCCCTCCTCCTCGTCCTCATCCTCCTTATCTTCCCCGCCATCCTCCTCCAAGTGTTCCCCGAAGAGTTTCCACAGCGGCTGGGGAACACATGGTCCGATAGCTTAGAACTGCTCTTGCCACAACACTCGGCCACATGGGCGGTTCCAAAAGGCGGGGGGCGGTGGTGATTCGCCGTAGGCGTCTTCGAGCAGAAGAGACCCAAAGAGGCAGGATTGCGCCCGTGCCCCGTCGAGACACGACAACAAAGGCAATGTCCTCGCCGACAAACAGGAGCCTGCCGAGATGCTGGAAGCATGGCCCAGCGTGCTGAGGTGTCAACACACCCGTACAGACAACGTAAACACTACTCGAGACTGACAGGCCGCTGACGGTATCAGGCAAGCTTAGTCCAACGGATAGTTGGATTGCTTATCAACTTCGCGTCGTGGTTGCTGCTGACTGGCTGCTAGATTAGAGCCGTCGCACAACGATGCAGCATCCGACCGACCGCGATTATTACTTGAGTCCAGGGATAAGGACTTCTCAAAGGCAGCTGCCGCTGCTGAATAACAAATAAGGAAGGCATAGCCTAAACGTGCGGTAGGAAAGCGGCGTATGAAACGCCAACGAGTCAACGCTGAATGGTGCTGGCCCCTGACAGACTTGTACGTAACATGCTTGGCTGGACCGCGGGAACCAAGTCCCTAGTTAAATTAAGTACGCGAACACGTTGTATAACGCCGGACTGGTACTTGAGCGTCCCAGTGAAGAACGCTGTCCCAAGGCTCCGCCCACGCTGCAGATTCGGCCCTGAACGGCCCGACAAAAAATTGACCAGCGCGTATACGCTGAAGCGAAGCGCTTCTAGATGCTCCATGCCTCACCCTGAGATCCGCCAGCTCTGCCACCCTCAGGGTTCACCCGACACGCGCCCCTGCCAATGCCGCTTCGCGAGCGGCTTCCCCGACCACTCGAGACTCATCCCCTCTCGCAGCCTTCCGCACCCGAGCCTGATTCGCTGATTCGCAAGTGGTAGGGCCCTCGCTAGACCTCCTCGCGGAGCTGGCGGAGCCTGCCGAGGTCGAGGTGCCGTCGCCTGACGAGGCGGCAGGGGACCCAGGCGGGGGGGCTGTGTACGGCTGCACACAGATGCTCGTCGAGGCCACCGTCTGCTGCTGGCCTGCCTGCAAGATGCGCTGGACGCTCCTGGCATCCTCCATGACAACGAAGGCAATACCCCCTGGTCGGATCCGACATGTGCCAGGCCGCACCATCTTCCTTGACTGCGTAGTCAGCACCTTCATGACAGGTCCAAAGCCTGAGAAATGCAGCGTCAGCGCCTCCGTGCACGTCCAGCTCAGGGATGTGACCCCCCGAACGATGATCACGCGGTTGGGGTCCTCCTGGCCCAAGCTCCTCAAGCACCTCGTGATAGTGCCATCCTGGCGTGCCGCGCCCATGTCAGAGCTACACCCATGCGCGCCCTGGGAGGTCCCGCTGCTGCCCCGCTCAGCACGCCCCTCGCCTGCGCGGCAAGCGACCCACAGCCCGCAGTCCAGCTGGGGTGCTGGCGGGGTGGCCGCCGCGGCCGCCTCCTGGCGGCCTGGTGAGCTGGCTTCCCCCGCAGGGCATACAAACTGCCGCGGCGGTCTTTCGGGAAGGCCGGCGGTCGCGGGGACTTTCGCGGGCGCTGGCATCGCCATAGTAGGGCCCTCGCTGGAGCTCCTCGCGGAGCTGGCGGAGCCTGCCGAGGTCGAGGTGCCGTCGCCCGACGAGGCGGCAGCGGACCCAGGCCGGGGGGCTGTGTACGGCTGCACACAGATGCTCTTCGAGGCCACCGTCTGCTGCGGGCCTGCCTGCAAGATGCGCCGGACGCTCCTGGCATCCTCCATGACAACGAAGGCAATGCCCCCTGGTCGGATCTGACATGTGCCAGGCCGCACCTTCTTCATTGACTGTGTAGTCAGCACCTTCATGACAGGTCCAAAGCCTGAGAAATGCAGCGTCAACGCCTCCGTGCACGTCCAGCCTAGGGATGTGACCCCCCGAACGAAGATCACGCGGTTGGGGTCCTCCTGGCCCAAGCTCCTCAAACAGCTCGTGATAGTGCCATCCTGGCGTGCCGTGCCCATGTCAAAGCTAAACTCATCCGCGCCCTGGGAGGTCCCGCTGCTGCCGGGCTCAGCACGCCCCTCGCCTGTGCGGCAAGCCACCGCCCAGCGGAAGTGCGGCCAGGCTGCTGGCGCGTCGGCCGCCGCGCCCGCCTCCTGGCTGCCTGGTGAAGTGGCTGCCGCCGCAGGGCCCGCGAACTGCCCTGGCGGTCTCATGGGGTGGCCTGCCGTCGCGGGGGCCTCCGCGGGCGCCTGCATGCCCGGCGCACCCCCGAGGCGACCAGGGTGGGCTATGAGCTGGCTTCCTTGGACGCCCAGCGGCCTCGGGCAGTCCAGCGGTCCCTGGTAAGCCGCGGCCGCGCGCAGGACCGCGCCCGCGGGCAGCTGGAACATGTGGTCGCACCGCCTGACAGGTCGGGGTGGAGCAGATGCGACTGCGGCCGCTAGGCTGGCGGCGGGCGGGATGGTGATGCAACCTGCGCGCTGCCTCCGGCTTTCAGAAAAGCCTTAAAAATTTGAACCAACATGGCTAGCGTTGTATGGCGATTGAGAAAGGGGGACATGCGATTTAAACATATGTTCTGCCGCTAGGACAATGTGGACGACATAATCTCAACGACGACGACGACGACGACGACGACGACGACGACGACGACGACGACGTCACGACGACCACGCCTGCAACCCGATCTAATTCATCATCGTCCAGGGCGCTGCTGCGTGACGGGCCCCCCAGGCAACTCTCAATCTCTTACTGCATTACATGCTGACATCGTCGTGGCAGCGTCCAGCTTACACCGGAAGCATCCTATTTCATCCTCGCGTGCACAACATAGCCATCCACGAAGTAAGCCATAAGCGCATCGTGGTAAGGCTTGCGCCGACCTCCCTCAGACATTTCTTCACCGCAACGCTGCCACGGCAAAATTGGAACGGCCCCGCGAAGGGGGCGAAACCGCTCGGCGGATAACCGACACGAAGGAAGCGTTGGACAACCAACCAGTGGATGAAACGCCCCGGGCCTCAGATACAGTGGACACCCATGCCAAGAAACACCCTGCTTGCCTCCAGGGTGCCCTGGGTTTCTTTGGCCTCGGTGGTTTCGCGATGGAGAGCGCGACGCTCCCACACCAAAAAATCAGCGGACGTCCTGGGGCCTCAGGGTGAGGTTTCTTGTGGAAGGTTTCCTGTGGTCGAGCTCCCAGTGTGGACCGAAACTCATGTTGGCCCTCCCGGGCGCACCCCCGAAGCTCCGGAGCCTGTCGATGAAAGGTGCCCGACGCCCTCGCGGCATGAGCTCAACCGTTTTGCTTAAATATGTATATATATATATAGAGAGAGAGAGAGAGATAAAACTCGCCTCGCACTCTGAGCAGCCTGTTCAGAGGGCGCGTCGGATGAGCAGATGTTCGCGGACAGCCTCGCCTTCCCACAAGCTCACACAGGTGATTATTTCAGAAACCCTGCACCCAAAAACGTTTTCATTTCTGGGGGGCGCTGCTTTTACTTCCGCCGCCTTCCGCCGCCCTTCCGCCCGCGGAGGCGGCCTCGTTTTAGTTCCGCCGACCTTCCGCCGCACTTCCGCCGCCTTCCGCGGCGGAATAGATGTCAACTCCTTTCCCGCATAGCCCGAGACCTCCCGACACTTTCCCAGGAAGGACGGCACTTCATCCCCCGATCCGTGCCTCGTGGACCCAAGGCCCAAGCGATGGCCCCCGACGGCTTGGACATCGGGCATGGACAGGGATCGGGCGGGTGGCAATGGGGGGTGACACAGGTGGGGAGGAGTGAGGAAAAGGGCCCGAAAGGAGCCCTTTGGGGCCCCTTTGGGAGCCGGCAGGTGCCCAGAAGGGGCCCTCAAGGGTCCCTGTAGGGCCCCTCCCTTCACCCCCCCTTCGGGCCACCCTCCATTGCCACCCGCCCGAAGAGATCCGTTGAGCAAAACACCGCTCCGTGAACGCGACCTGGAAGCAGACCCGGCGAGCGCAGCCCCACCCCCCCCTCCCCCCCCCCAAAAACGATTGCGGCCTCCCCCCCCCTCCCCCCCTCCCCCCCCCCCGAATCCACAATTACTCAATATGAATACTACTATCCCTCTTCCCCTGATGACGGTTTGAAAATATTAGCCCCCCCCCCCGCGCACTGTTTTTTAATACACAGGATTCCCCGGAGTTGGGTTTTCGCCTGCATTTTTTCCAAAATGCTGCTCTCGCTGAGGCGCCGGCCTCATTTTCGGGCCCCGTTCGTTCCGAATCGTGCTCCCGCTGCAGCGCTGGCCTCATTTCCGTGCTTCCGCTCGTTCCGAATCGTGCTCCCGCTGCAGCGCTGGCCTCATTTCCGCGCTTCCGCTCGTTTCGACTCGTGCTCCCGCTGCAGCGCTGGCGTCATTTCCCGTGCCATGCCACGGCATGCAATGCAATGCTAGGTTGATACTACGCTTTGCGGTGCTCTTCTACGCCATGCCATGCCGTGCTCTACAATGCATCGCGTACCCTTTCGGGATCATTGCCCTGCTCGACATCCGACTGTGCGAGTAGAGAGGGGATCTACGCCATGGTAAGGGATGGGAGGGAGGGGTAGGATGTCAGATATGACGCGAGCGCACCTAGCTTGCCCCTCCCCCTCCCCCACCTCCCCCCTCCCCCCCCCCCAAAAAAAACGATTGCGGCCGCAACGCCTTTCCCCCCCCCCCCCCCCCCCAAAAAAAAAAACGATTGCGGCCTCCCCCCCTCCCCCTTCCCCCCCCCCCAAAAAAAACATTGCGAACCGAAAACGAGCAGCAGTTCGCGACTCCACTTGGCAGGGTGGCGGCTCCATCACCACTCGAGAATACGGAACGAAAAACGCCAGGAATTCAAAGCTATCGGCCCTCCGAGGGTCGTGTCGGGGCCTGGCCCCCTGCTCCGAGGAGGGCCCGGCCTGGCCCATCCCACAGCCATCGCGAGTCCGTCGCCCCACGGCGCAGCTGCTCCGCAGCTGCGGCGACGCCTGCTGCGGGACGTCATCCAGGAGGGAAAAAACACACAGGCACAATGAATCGTCGATTGCCAGGAAGATCTGCGAAAATATGGGAAGTGATGGGGGAAGACAAAAACCCAGAACATATGGGAAAATTTGGGGAAGCCTTCTATTTGTGTATACCTATTTGTGTGTGTGTCCCAGGGCCCCGTCAGTTATTCTTGTGACCTCGCAGCAGCCCCCCGCAGCCTTCTCCGCTCCCGGGTCTTGGGCTGCGCCAGAGCTGCTCCAGAGAGAGAAACACGACGACATACGGCCCAAATCAGCGGTGATGATGGAGCGTCAGGCTACAAGGCACCTGGCGGTCCAAGATGCCATGAAACCCTTGGACAAGGGAGGCAGAAGCGTGCGGAGAACCTCCCAGAACGATGGATGCAAGGGTGCCCTGCTTCAGAGGCTCATCCAGCTTTGACTGCAAACTTAAACTGTCGGAGGTCCGCGCAGATTTCTTGGGTAAGAGCTGGACCCCCTTCTCGGTAGGGTAGGAAAAGGACGAGAGGATAGGATAGCAAGGGGTATAGTAGAGGCTCAGCTCACGTAGCTGGTTTTCCTGGCGCCTCCTGGCGCCGGGAGGCGCCCGTGTATCGAGGAATGGGCCAGGCGGCGGGGCGGAAACTAGCTGCATGCAGCCGATTTCGTAGCCCCCGCGCTTTCCCTATCGCACCTTTCTGTACGGCCCGACCTTCCCCATACCCCTCGGGTGCGCCGACGACGGGTTCCAGGAAGAGGGGGGTCAGCGCACATGGCAGAGGCACCTGCGTGATCGAGGGTGGCCAGGGAACGCACTCAAGCAAGAGGAAGAAGAAGAAGGAGGAGGATCATACGAAGATGGAAAGGGAACGAAGAATAAAAGCATGAGAAACCATGACATCTGGGAGATGTTATGGCCCCGGTCATGCTATGTCGCCGCGCTGTTTGTTCTCGACGCGCCCTGAATGACGACGCCGACACCGCGGCAAACCCACGGCAAACTCTGCGTCTGAGGCGGAGTTTGCCTTGGCGGCCGAGGCGCCCTCCCCAAGACGGGAGGCCGCACGTCGCAATGGACGGCGGGGCGACACATCCCCCTTCCTCCCTCCCTCCTCCTCCTCCTCCTCCTCCCTTCTCCTCCTCCTCTCCTCCTCTCCTCCTCCTCCTCCTCCTCCTCCTCCTCCTCCTCCTCCTCCTCCTCCTCCTCCTCCTCCTCCTCCTCCTCCTCCTCCTCCTCCTCCTCCAGTCCTCGCCCCCCCCTCGTGGGCGCCCCCGACCCTCTTGGCGGCGCCTCCGCGCGCCGCCCGCGGCGCGCGCCACGCGCCAGGGAGAGGAGGGGGCGTGGTACGGCAGGTTCGTGTCGTGCCGACCCCAGCGTTGGTTTTTGACACCGCAGGGATCGTTCAACCTTGAACGATCGGCCGCTGCCGCAACGTCCGATCGTTCAACATCGATCGATTCTGGGTCGCCGGCGGCGTTCAACCTTGAACGTCCGCGCTGGGGTCGCCGCTGGTCGACACGACGCAAACCTACCGTAGGCTGGTGGCCGCCGGCGCCGACCCGAGGCCCGCCCCCTGCGCGGGGGAGCGGGGCGCGGGCCGCCGAGGCATCCATGAAGGGACCCCAGGACACACAAATGAATACACACAAATAAAAAGGATTCCCCATATTTCCTCATATTTTCTGGGTTTTTGTCTTCCCCCCCGATTCCCATATTTTCCCGTATGTTCTGGGGGATCGACGATTAATTGTGTCTGTGTGTTTTTTCCCTCCTGACATCCAGAAGAAGAAAATCGACCCAGCGCGACGCCACGCGGGCGACGATCCGAAACGGGCCTCGCGCGGCATGGCACCGCGACCTTAACGCGGCGGCTTGCGCGAGCCGCCGGCGCGGCTGACGCTACCTGCTGTCGAGCTCCTCGGCACTGCTTGGCAGTGCTTGGCGCTGCTTGGCGTTGCTCGGCATTGCTGGGCATTTCTTGGCGTCGGCTTTGCACTGCCTAGCATTGCTTGGAACTGCTGCTTGGCAGACGCTGGAAGACAGCGACTACAGCCTGCACAAACAATGGAACACAACGTCGCACTTGTCAAACGGATGAATTTGCACACGGATCTGATCAAACTCAACCTCAACCAGCCTCATCGCGCACCGCACGCACGCTGAGCCGACGTGGGCCGAGAACTTTGCGAAGTCCCTGCGGCGCTTGGATCGCGCCTGGGCGGCAGCGGGCGGGGCCCGAGAGAGGCCCGGGCCCGCAGGGCCAGGCAGGCAGTTCGTTTGGCGGCGCACGCGGGAGGGGGGGGGGAGTGAGAGGGGGCGGACCTCCTCAGAAGGCGGCGGGGCTTCCCAGAGGCCCACAGGCCTTCTGAGAGGCCGTCCGTGTATTCGAAGAAGGCTTAGAGAACTCCTCCGAAAGCAGGGGACCTTCCGAGTTTTCTGAGAAGGCCCGCCCACTATGGCTTCCCCCTCTGGGCTCGCTGCCGAGTTCGCTTCGGAGGAAGAGGACGACGAGGAGGGAGCGCGACCACCAGAGTACGACGCGTCGGCTATGCATGACCGCAATGCGAATCAGAGTCGCCAAGCAAGCCCCGAACGCCAAACAAACCGACCTGCAATAGGCAAACTCGTGCAAATAACCTTGACCTGGGAGAGACACATTGGACATCAACAACATGATACCAATATTCACCCGTGTCATTTATTGCCTGGGTGGTTTCCGTTCAGTGCAGAAATCAAGGAGGTGCGGCCCTGGAAGAAGAAGAAGAGGAAGAATGACCATAAGACGAGGGAGGAGCACCAGAAGCATACAATTGTCAAAGGTCCGCGTGGATTTCTTGGCTCGGCGCTGGACCCCCCTCTCCAGCTCGCGGGGCCCGGCAGCGGCGCCACGGGGTCCAGCATTGATCCAAGAAATCCGTCCGGACCTCCGAAAATGTATGCTTGTGCTGTTTTCCATCTTCGCGAGCTGGCAGGGTGGGGAGGCTGTCTGTCGCTGCCAGTGTTCACGAGCACCGCCCCCCGAACGCCGGCGCGCGTCAGCTGGGAGGCGCCAGGGATCCGCAGGCCCCTCCGCGAGCCGGCGGGTGGTACGCCATCAGGCCGTCGCCGCCAACGTCACGCTCCGTCGTCGCGGGCCCTGGGGCGCCTTCGGACGCGGAGGGGCCAGCCTGGTCGCCCGCTGTCCCTGAGCCCCTGCTGGGGGCTGGCGGGCCGCCGCCGGCCGCCATCTCGGCGGCGGCGACGGGGCCGCCAGGCCCAGCAGAGGCTGCCTGGGGGCAGGCCGCCAGCTCCTCGGAGGCGGGCGCGGCCGCGGGCGGTTGCCGTGCCACGCCGGCCCCTTCTGTGGCAGCTCGCGGTGCTGCCGGGCCCTCTGAGAGCAGCTCCCCGGAGGCCTCCGCGGCCCTGGCGGCACCGACGGCCGGCCCGGCGCCCTGCAGCAGGAAAGGGTCACCTGGAGGGATGCCCCTGTCTGCGGAGGAGGTCCTCGCGGCCTTCCCCGCCAGGCCCAGCAGCCCGCGGAGCCCGCGACGTACGCCGCCGCCGCCGCTTCCGTGCCCGCCACCCGCCCCCTCGTCGGCAGCGCCAGCGGCGGGCGGCGCGGAGCCTGGGCCAAGCAGGATGGCAGGTTCTTCGACCCCGGCACCGCCGCCCCGCAGGAAGTCGTCCAGAGTCCCCGCGGCGCCGCCGCCCACGCTGGCGCCGCCGTCGCCGCCAGCCGCAGCGGGCTCGCACGGGGAGGGCTCTTCCACATCCTCCGCGTCTGGGGGCGCCATCAGCGCGCCCAGGCGCGCCCGCAGCTCGTCGCACTCCGCCTCGCGCTCCCGCAGAGCCTCGGCGAGGTCCGCCGCCAGCGCCGAGCCCTCGGCCTCAAGCTCCTGGCGCAGGCACTCGAGGTCTGCAGACGGCGTGCGGTCCAGCTCCGCCAGCGCCACCTGCAGCGACTGCACGATCTCCGCCTCCCCGAGGACGTCCGATTCCAGGGTGAAAGCTGACACGCCCAGGGCGGCCATCGCCTGCTAGTTCATCCTCCCTCATCCTCCTATCCTCCTCCCCCTCGTCGCCGTCCATCATCATCATCATCATCATCATCATCATCATCATCATCATCATCATCATCATCATCATCATCATCATCATCATCATCATCATCATCATCATCATCATCATCATCATCATCATCATCATCATCATCATCATCATCATCATCATCATCATCATCATCATCATCATCGTCATCGTCGTCGTCATCATCATCATCATCATCATCATCATCATCATCATCATCGCCGTCATCGTCATCGTCATCGTCATCAGCAGCAGCATCATCAGCATCATCATCATCCCCCTCGTCGCCGTCATCATCATCATCATCATCATAATCATCATCATCATCATCATCATCATCATCATCATCATCATCATCATCATCATTATCACTATCATCAGCAGCATCATCATCATCGTCGTCGTCATCATCATCATCATCAGCATCATCAGCATCATCATCAGCAGCATCATCAGCAGCAGCATCACCATCACCATCACCATCAGCATCATCATCAGCATCATCATCAATATCAGCATCAGCATCAGCATCAGCATCACCGTCACCATCATCACCATCAGCATCAGCAGAAGCATCATCATCACCACCAGCACAATTCATTATCATCATCATCACCAGCAGCATCATCATCAGCATCATCATCACCATCGTCATCATCATCATCATCATCATCATCATCATCATCATCATCATCATCATCGTCATAATCACCATCGTCATCATCATCAGCACTTGGATAGGGCATAGTTCATCATCAGCAGCATCATCAAAATCATAATATGCATCATCATCAGCATCATCATCATCACCATCCTCCTCTTCATCGACGTCCTCCTCCTCACCACCACCACCACCACCAGCATCATCATGACCGCCATCACCATCACCAGCACCATCACCATCATGATCACGACCATCACCATCACCAGCATCATCATCATCATCATCATCATCATCATCAGCATCATCATCATCATCATCATCATCGTCATCACCATCATCACCAGCATCATCATCAGCAGCAGTATCAAAAGCATCAGCATCAGCATCATTATCATCAGCATCGTCATCACCTGTATCATCATCATCACCATCATCATCATCAACATCATCGTCCCCATCTCCATCCCCAGCCTCATCTTTATCCCCGTCGTCATCCTTATCCCCGCCGTCACCTTTGCAACCACCCCCCATCGTGATCGTTGCCGCCATCATCGCCACCACCACCACCCTCGCCATTCTCCTGTCCGTCCCCCGGCGGGGGAACCGACAGGCCAGATGGGGGCCGCGCGCCTCGCGGCTCCTCTCGCGCTCTTCGGCCACCTCCGCGCACGCCGCCACGGCCCGCGCCACGTCGCCCAGACGCGAGACCTGAACTGCGGCGCCCAGTCGCAGAAGGCGGCGGGGCTCCTCAGAAACCCTGGCGCCTGCTGAGAAGCCGTCTGTGCCTTCGGAGGCCAACAGACCTCCGCAAGAAGACGCGAGTGTTCCTGAGAAGCTCCGCCGCCTTCTGGGAGGGCCGACCCCTCTCGCTTCCCCCGGGGGCTCGCCGCCGAAAGGGCCTCGCGAGGGTGTGGAATTCAGTGGTACGAGACTGCTCCTAACCATCTTGTGGCGTTGAGTGCTCGTTTTGACGAGACAGCGCCTGGCGCCACCGAAGCCCCCAGTGGGACCGTCCGCATGCGCCCCCCCCACCCAATTTGGCACTGTCACCCACCCAGTGCAGCGCTCCGTGGCACCATAGGGAGATCCACCGAAGCCCCCAATGGGACCGCCCGCGAGCGTCCACCATACCCAATGTGGCATGTTCAACGGCCCAGTACAGCGCTTCGTGGCCTCTTAGGCAGCTCCACCGAAGCCCCCAGTGGGACCGCCCGCATGCGCCCCCCACAGGGAGCTCCACCGAAACCTCCAGTGGGACCACCCGCGTGCGTCCCCCACACCCAATTTGGCATTTTCACCGACCCAGTACAGCGCTTCGTGGCCCCATAGGGAGCCCCACCGAAGCCCCCAGTGGGACCGCCCGCATGCGTCCCCCACACCCAACCTCGCATTTCCACCCACCCTTTACAACGCTTCGCGGCCCCATGGGGAGTTCCACCGAAGCCCCCAAGAGGACCGCCCGCATGCGTCCCACACGACTAATTTGGCATTTTCACCCACCCAGTGCAGCGCTTCGTGGCCTCATAGGGAGCTTCACCGACGGCCCCAGTTCTACCGCCCGCATGCGCCCCCCCCGTCCAGCGCAGCGCTTCGAGTAGTAGTAGTAGTAGTAGTAGTAGTAGTAGTAGTAGTAGTAGTAGTAGTAGTAGTAGTAGTAGTAGTAGTAGTAGCAGCAGCAGTAGTAGTAGTAGTAGTAGTGTAGTAGTAGTAGTAGTAGTCGTA